TTGGTCTATATGTCATCCTACGCTTTATGGCGGCACCGACGCGGGAGATGCGGCGCCGCTCCCTATATGGTACCTGACCACGCTTCCTATGCTTACGTGTTTAGCCAACTCTGGGAGACGGTGGCTCCCAATACGCTGCACCCGGAAACCTCTGGCACACCCCAACCGACTGTCAGGACTGCAGGTGCGCCCGCCCGCATTTTTCAGAGAGGCGCATTTCTGGATTACTAGCAAGATGATTTGTTCTATGCTTCCCCACACTGGATGACGACAACTCCACCTTATCATACAGCCCTTTGATCTAATCCACAATGCTGTCTAGGGGAGCCGACATGAGGCGAACCGGGGGACCACGGCCTTCCCATGCTCTATGCTAACATCGATTGACTATCAGGTGCTCCGTCATTTATCGGCGAGTGGTCACGAATGCCCCTTGTGCGTCGGGTGAGTTTCATCAATGAGATTCAATGAGTATAGAAGTCTCCTTTCATGTCAAGTTTTATCCCCACGGTGGCCGGAAAATTTACCCTAGTCCTGCCATCGTCTCACCCGAAAAGGGTAGCGAAGAGCCCTGTATAGCCATGCTCATCGTGTATGTAGTTTCCCTGGGCTGTTTTCCCATACCGTATGCAGTATGCTTCCGCCGGCTTTTATGTTTTCCCCACACGTTAATCCCATTTCAAGGGCTGCTGACGAGTGGTCTCACCTGTGGACACGCTCTGCGCGACAGAGAGAGAGAGAGAGAGAGCAATTGCATGAGGTTATTTGCAAGGCAGACACAGAAGTCAAGACATCGTTTAGAGCATGAGCTTGTTTGTTCCGATAAGAAATAACAGTTTATAACAAAGACACGTTCTATGAATTTTGTGATTTTGCGTTAGATGAAAGTCACTATGTTTGTTTGAAGAATAGAAAGTGGGTTGCCGGATTGGTTTGTTAAGAATGATGCAATGTTTCGCAGCCATGTAGCGGCTGTGGTCCACAACACTCCGAATGGAGCTGCGGACGTTCGTTTTGAAAGTGTGCCCAGTACACATCTCCAGAATCAATCTTTGCTTACGAACGTCCTGTGTAGGGCAGCGGTCTCAAGTCTCGTAATTACTTGTATACACCGACTAACAGCAAAACATGGCACGGGCAAGCTGTTGAAACGGTCGCATGAGCAAGAACGGAGGCACCAAGTCCTTTGGAGAGTGATTGGCATGATCGGAAGGATTGAGCCAGCATGATGCACAATTGCTTTTTGCGTGCTGTCGCAGCAAAGCAAGAGGTTGTCTTGCGCATCGATGTTTGTGGATGAGCAGTTCCCGCCAGATGAATCATCACTTTGGGGCGGAGATTCGTTGCAGCGGTGGTGCTATGAGAAGCTCGAGTGGCTCCGTCCACACCAGCTTCGCCCGATGCCAGATAGCCTTTTTGATGCAGATGCAAAACCAAGGACATGCAGTGTGAGGCAAGGTTGCATTCCCGATTGTTACCTTGTCTCCGCAATTGCCCTTTTGGCGCAACAGCCTCATCTGGTACGCCGATTGTTCGTGGCTTACAAACCGGAGGAAGGCCTGCATGCTTGTCACATACGAGTTGTGCCTTTGTGTGATGCCGTTATGGGGTTGCAGTCTTGCAGTATCTACACATTTACGTTTTCTTTAGTTGAACGACCTTTGTCTTCCCTGTCAGGAATTTGCACGGTCAAGCTATTCAACGGAAGCTGGCAGGAGGTGACTGTTGACACATTGTTGCCTTGTGTGAAACTGCGACCTGCCTTCGCTCATCATGACGGTGGAAGGGAGTTGTTTGCTTGTTTCCTTGAAAAAGCCTGTGCAAAACTGCATGGCAGTTATGCTTGTTTGTGTGGCGGCCGGGTTGACGAATCGCTGTTCACACTCACAGCAGCACCCACCCTGGAGATAAGAACCGCCATGCGTGAAGCTCTACTGGAAAACTTGCAGACAAATGGTGATGCCAATTTGCTGGCATGCGCAAGCGCGTCATCGACGTCTGGCCCCTCACGTCCTGTCTCTGCACTGCCCATCCGTCCTAACCATACGTACATTGTTACATGTATTGGCGATCCAGGTCCGAATCCGAGCATCATGGTGTTAGATCTGAGTGCTGATGAAGGAGATGAGAAACGGCCCGAATCGAGCATTGGAGAGCTCTTGATGCACTTGGACGACTTTCTCCGGACGTTCAATCGACTGTTTGTTTGCTTTGTTGGACAGTTCCACGCATCATCTTCTTTGCCTCGACACTCTGTGGATGTGGCCGTCACAGTGGGCTACGCAGGTGGTGCTTCATCATTTCCGACATTCGAAGACAATGCCATGTTTAGGATCGTGCCAGCATGCAAAATGCTGCTAGCAGTGACCCTGGCACAGCGTGAAATTCCACAGACTGCTCGAGAGTTCAACATGTATGGACGGTTTCCTCTTCCGCAGATTGGCGTCACGGTTCTTCGTCAAGAGGTGTTTCCTGATGTTCCAACAGATGCGAAGAGCTGCACCCGCAACCGTCGCAGAATACTGCATCAGACCCCGTTTGAAGGCAAAAGGCAGGCATCTCTTGTCTTCGAGGTTGAGAGCCTTCCTCCAAACTTGGAATATCGAGTTGTTCCGTCTCATTATTTCCCTGGAGATTGCGGTTCAGGCCAATTCCAGCTGCATTTCACGTGGTCAGGCCCAGAAGATGCAGTCCTCATCGAAGAAATCACGGCGTGCTCTTGTGGAACTGATGTCAGATTTTCAGGGACTTTAGCTCCTGGTAATATGGCCATGTTCTCTTCCCAATCTCCGTCTTTCCGAGTTTGCAGCCCTTCGGCTCCAGTCCATGTCACGGCAACACTGACACGTCGTCTCGAATCAACGCTTTGCTGGTGGAAGCAGGATCCGTTGCAGGCATTGCTGCATGATCTTTTTTGTTTGTTTGATGCTGATGCCGATGGGTTTCTCTCTCGAGACGAACTAGCAGATCTGTCCTCTGGGTTATTGAGAAATGACTTGCCAAGCAAGGGTGCTGCAGGTTGCACGAAACAGCAGATATTCGCAAAGCGGTGTGATCAGTTGGATCTTGACACCATCAGCTTTGGTCAGTTCCTGTCGCAGAACCTGTGGTCTGGCCTTGCAACGAAGCGTGATCTGGAACGGAATGCTCTCAGGATGAGAGGTGCAGGCAACCGTAACTCCAGAGATTTGCATAGCCTGGGGGCATGTGCTGCTGCAGATTCTTCTTATGCTGCAGTGGCTGTGTTGAACTGTCCGGCCCAATCGTTCCAAGATGCACGTGCTTCGCTGGCCAAAGGCTGTTCTGAGCTTCCTGTTTTGAGCGATGCGGCTGTATGGTCTACAAGTTACTCGATCCAGCAGCCGGAGTTTTACCTGTGTCCGGTTTTGCAGGGAAGTGCAAGTAGTGCAGGCTGCAGTTTCGAACTGCGCATTCAGAGTTCGCGCAGTGAACTTCATGTGGAAATGGCTGGAGATGCATGCTTCTAAACATGCTACTAAGGCAATGCATCTGGCACACATAGATTCATGCAGGAAGACAATTTTGTCTTTCGTTGGTGGTGCTTTGCCGATGGCCCAAAGCCTGCTTCAAAGTCGAAAACCTTGCGATCTGTGCGTGTGCCGCTGTGGAGATCACTGACTTGTTAGAATCCTATGCGATTCAAGAAGGTTCAGATTCCAGATAGCCTGGGGTGATAGACGACAGTGTGACCGTCATGTCTTCACCAGATATGTAGCTTCTTGATCACTTACAAATAGCAAGACATGCTGTGCGTTTTGGTCGCCCCACTGGGCCCTGCCCGCGTGGCCCCGGGCCAGATGCCGGCTGCTGATGGGACTTCAGCTGATGCTGCCACTTGGCTGCGAGAGCTGCTTCCTGGGGCATGCAATAGATGTCCGATGATTTCGCGCAAGAGTGGATGGTGAGGCATTGTCAATGTGGATATACTTGCGGTATCAAGGCCGGGTGGGTCCTGCGCAGCAGGAAAACCAGGATAGGCAAGCGCAGGCCGCCTTGGACCGACACCTGGCGAAATTTGCCGGCACTGAGTTCGAGCAGGAGCATGGTGTCGACCTCAATATGCCATGGCTTGCAGCCCGTGAGCGTGGCTTTGAGAGGCCTCAGCTTGCCGGTTCCCGGCTTGCCAGCCAGAGGAGTGCGAAGTGTCGTGGCTTCAGTGTCGCGGCCTTGCGCGTGTTTGGATCTTGCAAGCGCGATATCAAGGCTCCACTTTTGGAGTTTGGCAAGGACTTCTATGAAAGCACCTGCCCCAAAGGGAAAAGGAGAACACCATTTGACAGAGCCGTGCAGCCTATTAGTAGCCCGCCAGCATCCGCCAGCATAACACCTTCGCTCAGCCTGTCTCGAGCGTGGGGTAGCGCAAGAGGGGCAGGCCCAAAGGATTGCTAGCTTTCGCGGCAAAAGACAACCGCAGGAAGACTTACAACGAGTATAGTACAGTTAATCCCAGTCAGCTAGCAGTCCTCTAGACGTGTATCCTGTCACCTGCGCACCTGAGAAGGTCGGCGCCCCAGGCATTATCGTTTGAAGTGAAGTTGTTGGCCATTGGCATCTCTTGGCATCTCGTGGCCTCGGCGAGAGGTCACAAAGCCACGGGCTCTGGAACGATGGGATTCCTACTTCCGGTGCTACAGTGCCAGCAGGATCTTAAGAGACTAAATGTCCTTCGTGTGTTGGACGACAAACCCTCGTGAACACCGCGTCTTGGGCTACCCTGCCGCAGGACATCAGAGCTGGAAAGGATGTTTCAGGCCAAGCACAATCTTTCTTTCGTCAGTATCGGGTGCACTACGTGAATATACCTTGTGCAGGAGGCAAGGATGCACCAAAAGAAAGTGCTGCGATGAACCCCGATAGCTGTGCGGGAGCGAAGGGAAGAAGGCAGATCTGGAATGTAAAACGGATGGGCTTAGCTCAGGGCTTTGTTGATGGTACCTTGGCCTAGGAGCTCGGACTCTGGGGGTTCTTGTCGAGATCGAGGCACCGATGAAGTTAGATTGGCTTCGCTGGGACTTGAAGTTGCGAGAACGGAGGTTTCATCGCCACTTCCGGGCCAGTGAAGCAGGCGCGGTTCTTTCGCAAACTTGCGGGTGCGTGCTGCAGAGTTAGTGGAGTGAGATAGTGGATGGTCCGCGATGGTCCGATCATGTTGCTGCAGTTGACATGGTGTGCACCGCAGCCTGTTCTGAGCAGTTAGCTTGCTTGGATGAGGGTTCGAATGTGCATACGAGTTTCGCTTCATCTGCCGGAATCCCATAACCAAGGCCCTGCCCTTTTCCAACTTGCTGATGTTCGCGCTGGCGGAGGTGGCCGCGGTCTCAGAATGAAGTCAGGCAACAAAATAACAGTGAAACAGTTCTTGTTCAAAGAGCCGTACTCACATCTCCAGATTTTTTTATCGTTGACAGGAGCGTCCACGTCACGGCGCATTCGTGGAGCCCATATCTTCCTCACGCGTTTGTAGTCTGTATCATTTTTGCTTTTCTTGATTGCTTCTGTACACTCGTCTTGCAGATTGTGGTTGAGGGTGCAGCATGACAGCTGTGTCTCGTGGATTCAGTATCGAAGAGTTTGTGACAAGTTCCGCATGTCACTCTCTGTTACGGACATCAGGCAAAGGCTGCAGCTGCTCGCGGCCAGACACAGGCCTATGCAGTGCAGGAGCTCATTTTTTAAGCTGGTGTGGCGGCTCCAGGCGATGCAGAGCTGTCCCAAGTCCGCCTCTTGCCGAAGACTGCACTGTGAAGAGGCGCATGGGAAGTCTGTGTAGTATAGCGTTTTACAGTCCTTTATAGCTTCGAAGTTCCGCTCGAGGCCGAAGTCGCGTCCAAAAAACGGTGCTCTCCTTACGCTGTGACATGCTGTGGCCTCTTTGCGCTGCTTCGCTCCTGCTTCTCTCCTTCACTCTTGCTATCTCTTGCTCCTTTGGAGGCGCATAGATCTGAAGCCTGATGGCGATGTGACTCAGCGGAGTCCTGAGGGGTGCTGAGTCTCGGCACAAAGAGGGGATGCGAGGTGTACAAAGGACAGTCCAAACAGGTGCCGTGACGATCCAGTCCCTTGTCCAGTGAAAGACCGGACGTGCGAGACTGACATCTGAACACGACACCGGGGATCCTTGCGTAGCCTCTGACAAAGACTTGACAGATTCAGATACCAGCTTGACGACATTCTGTCGAGGCATTGTCTTTGTCAAAGACGGGATAGGCTTGCGGTTTGAGCAGCCTCCGCTGGCTTTCACTGGCAGGAGCTTCAAGCCCATAAGGCCAGCCTCAAACAGGGCGATGCCCAGTACCAGGCATGTACAGTGTTGTAACATTACGAGGATTGTGCAGAAAGGGACACATCACGGCAGCCACATTGCCAAAGAGACATATCGCTGGGAGCGCGCACGACCCGGCAAGGTTCTTTACGAGATGAGTTGCCGGGTCCACAGGGAAAGCAGAAGCAATTCTGACAGGGCATCTGTCCATACAGAGAAACGTTTTGGTGCAACTTCGTTGCGTTGCGTGAGGTCCCCCAATACTCAAAAAGGACGTCCGACTGCATGGGCCGAACGTCGACGATGGTAGCTATGAAGCCGGCCATGGCTGCTGGGTGCTTAGAATCAGAAGCTTTGGAAGTAGTCTCAGACAAGCGGAGACGAAGCCGAGAAGACCTGATACAGGGCGCACGTTTTGCCCGTACAGGGCACGTCTCGTCCTGTCCAAGAACCGTTCGTGGCTGCACTTTGAGAACTGGAAAGGCCAACAATTCTTGAAAGCAAGGTCTTTTCGTGTGATGTATGCAAGTTCGAGTTTGTTGTGCTTGACAGACTTGGTGCACACTGACTCAGGACTCGATGGCCGTGGCCTCAATACCATTTCCGGTTGGGCCGGTGGAAGAGGATGGTCCAGGTGGTTCTAATCTGGAAGGTCAGACTACTTCTGGTGCGTCACGCGCAGAGTGCCAACAAAGCACGCGAGCTGCCTGTCTAGCAGCAATTGTTGCAGCTAAGAAGTTTTCATGGTCCTGATCCGCTTTCCTTGAAACCTGTCCTTCTTGAGGCCTGGCTGCCCCGCCGAAGCTGATCCAGGCTGCAGGAATCTGCAGGACTTCACAAGGGTCCAATACATTCTGTCGCAGAGGTTTGACAGAGCTCGGATTCCGACAAGCAGCTGCACTTGCCGAGAGGCTGCAGAAGGAGCTGAGGCGAGGCTGCATCGCGATGAGTGCACCTCAGTCGTCTGGCTCGCCAGGTCTGTGAAGCTTCCACACCTCACCCTGGTGTCTTGCACTCAGTGTCCTACCGGATCCTACCTGCCACTAGCGTGTTCTGGTCTCCGAAGGTCGAGTCCGATGAGGCCAGAGTGGAATCAGAATAGAGTGGCACCAACAGACAAGAGCAGACCTGAGAAGGCGCTGCATCTACACCATCCAGCCAGCAATCCAGGCTTTGCAGCCCCAGGCCGAGGTGGCAGAGTTCATGAATCTTCATGAATGTCATCTCTCGATTTTTGTGGTCCTTGTCAGCATGCTCTCTGTCATGGTGGAAGTTACGAGTTCGGCTGTGCCAGAGGCTGAGCCCTGTGGTCTATGAATTTATACAGTTTATCAGTTTATCAGTATAAATCAAGACTGGAGGCTGGCAAAGTTCATCCTGGATCAAGTCTGCACGAGCTTTTGCAGGAGTTTCCCGAGTTCTCGTGTCGCCCTTGGTTGAGCATGCACAGGGCTGGGTGGCACTAAGTCTGACTGGCCCGTCGGTCAATTTGGTCAACGAGTTCTTGTCACAATTCGAACCTCCATGCCTTGTCAGTTGCAGTCAGCGCGCTGGCCACCACCTGTGCTGCCCGGATACGCAAGACTCGATGCAGTGCACCCTTGCAGCACCGGCTGAACACCTGGAGAAGCTTTGCGATGGAAAGAGGTGCTGACATCCAGATAGTTCTGTCTGCGAAACTAGAAGTTCGACCTGGAAAATGGCATTCTGTCTTCTCCAGACATCGAATGGGATCTCCCTGCCAGTTTGGTCAACACTTCATGTGTGCCCGCCTGCCGAACACACATGCGAGCGCAAGATCCGAGTTGTTTGGGGTTTGCGAGTTCATCTCGCCATCATTCGCTGCACCATCACGCAATATCACGCATCACAGCAGTCAAGGAGTCAACGGACCACTCAGGATGAGACTTGCTCGTTGCTGTCAAGCTGCCAGTCCAGTAGCGTTGCTTCCACAGCTTCGATCAGTCTGTGTATGACATCCAGATCGTCGAAGCAGTAGTCCTGCGTGACAGCAGGAGTCAGAAGGATACACTTAGAGTTGATGCATGAACGACGACACGCACGGTGCGGATCTGACGGCATGTGATTCTGACGCTGAGTGAGGGCGTCCCCCTCACCATTTCTATCACGCATGCTGGCAGTCGTCGTTCTTCCGGTTCCAAGCGGTCTCCAGTGACTTTTCGATTTCTGTAAAACACACTTGTGTGTGCAGGAACAAGCCTAAGCGTCGAGCCGCGCAGCTATCGCCGGCTCGACCGCTTTTGAGTTCCTCCTATTCCCTTCGCCTCTCATTGCATCACGGCTTCCCGCGCCTCGTCGCCTGGTGCCGCTGATGCCGACTTCGCCGCTTTCGCGGCGATGGCCGGCCTGGACCTGGTCGGCACTTCATCGTCGCCGGCGCCTACGGCATCTTGGATGGAGGCTGCGCCCGCCATGGGCGTTGGGAGTTTCGCCGGGTAGCCCACGTCGGGTCTTGCCACGGGCGCCACACCGCCGACGCCAGGTGGTGATGTCGAGGAGCTCGCCGGGTTGCCCGCCTTGGGCACTACGGCTTTGGTCGAGCTGGCTGGGTGGGGGCGCCTCCGACGGCCAATATCGTTAACGACAATGTCCTCGCCGACGTCGAGGTCCAGACTGAGAACACCGCGCTGATCCACGCCTTCGACGTCACCGCCGCGGCAGTGCAGACCGACAGCGCGGTGTTCTTCTCGTCCTTCGTGGGCGACAACACACAGGCGGCGTTGGCGGCAGCCATCCGTGCCTGTCGCCTGGAGATCGGTTCCGCCTCGACGGGGCGCTCAGGATGGCTGAGGGCCGGGCGGTGGTATGGCGCTTCACGCCTTCAGCACCTACGTCCATGGGCGTGGTGGATCCAGGCCCGTCTCCGGCGGGCGAACGGCAGGCCGCGTCACTGGCGGAACAGGCCGCCCAGCGCCCGCTCCCGGATGACGACGCGGATCAGACGGCCTTAGAGGAGTTCCTCCAAGGCGCCAGCGGTGCAGCCGTTCGCCGCGGCCAGCTCGGTCTCGACGGGGGCTCTGAAGAAGCCGCCTTTCAAGAAGGCACCCCCCCGGCTTTGACGATCGACTCGGCTGGGCCAACGCCGGGCAAGGCACCGCCTGTGCCCTACCCTGACAGGACTATCTCCTTCCTGGGCGGCACGCCGGCCAAACCGCCAGTCAAGAGGGCGCCCGTCGGCCCCAAAGCGCCGCCTCGGTTTGATGACGCCGGCAACATCGTCGAGCAGAAGCCCGTCGGGCCTCAGGCGGCATCATGGCGCCGGCTAAGAAGGAGGCGACGCAGACTCAGGCGGCCTCGTCGTCCGGGCAGGCGCACGGCCATCCTCCCCAGGAGCTCCAGGACATGGTCAACAACGCCCTCGAAGAGAAGGCGGCTTGGCTGACCATGTGCGAGCTACTTACGTCACCAGCGACAGACCTAGGCCCTTTCAGGGGCCTGTCTTTGGGATGTGGACAGGGGTTTCGACATGTTGGGCCAGGTTCCCCCCGCTCCGGGCTGGAAGCCTCGAACCAACGAGCGGTGTGCACGGCCGGAGGGTCTCGACCGGCTCCGCCGGGAGGACTGGTGGCGGAGACCCGCCTTGCCCGAGTCACGGGGCCTTGCGCCGCACCGGACCACTGGTCCGTGAACACCACAGCACTCCCGTCAGTCGCGGGCATGGGCGTCCTGCGCCCGCCGCGACTGCTTCGCGGCTCTTTCGTTCGCCATATGCCAGGTCGACGAGCACGGCGACCTGAAGCTCCGCTGCGGGGAGGATTGGCGCCGCTCTGGCACCATGGGCGCGGGGGACGTCCCCCCACACACCACTTCTTGGGGGACATCGTCGACCTCGTTCTTCGGGCTTGGGCGGAAGGCTGGGACCCGGTGGTGTTCGGCCACGACCTACAGAACGCCTACCGCCAGTGGGCGGTCCGCTACCCGGGGCACTGCGGTACCTTCCTCCCGTCCACTCCAAGCCCTCTAAGGCGCAGTCGCCTGCCAGGCGGCACGTGGTGCCAAAAGCGCAGGACCCGGATTCTGGACCAGATCGACGCCGCCCTCACAGACGACAGCTTGACGCCGAACGCGGCATCGCGCCTCGCGGGGCGCCTCACGTTCATTCCTGTCACAGTCCACCTTCGGCTCCACCGGGTGTGCGGCCATTAAGCCGCTCTATTCACGGGCGGCGGACACGGCCGCCAACTCTGACGACTCGCTCTCGGTGGGCCTTCGGTCCGCCCTCATGGCACTGCGCCGTCTGGCCCGGTGCTCTACTCCGACGCGTTCTTCCTGGACGGGGACCTCCGGAAAAAACCTGGGCACTTGGAGCCTGGAGAGGCCGTCCCTCGGGCGGCCCGGTGGCAGAATGGTTGCGGCTATGTCTTGCTCCTGGACGGCCACGTCTTCTACGACCACGGGGTCATCAAGCCGGAGCACCTCGCCCCCTTCGCCGCCAGGAAGGCCTTTGTATATGTCCTGGAAATCGTCGCTCAGGTCCTGCCCTTGGTCACTTTCGCCAGGCGCCTTATAGCCCCTTCTGGATCGCCTTCATCGACAATGTCAAGCCCAAGTGCACCGCTGCAGCGCAGCACAGAAAGTCGTGGGCAGCCTGCGGTCCCGGAGCGCCTGGGCGAACGTCTTCGAGGCAGAGCGGGCAAATGGGTGCAGCCGCAGCGGGGTAGGCGGAGGGCGTCAAAGGTGTATACGGTCCCCTGCAGACAAGCCGGGTGAAGGGCTTTTGGGGACGGTCAGGGGGGAGGGGGGAGCGGAGGGTGGTGACAGAGTGCGGCGCGACATGGCAACAGCGACAAGCAAAGACTGTCCTGGTTTCGCAATGGCACTGATCTGTATCCGCACCTGTTCGGTGTCAAAAGGCCGGTGCAAGTGGAGTGGCCGGTGTATGCCAGGCTCGGCAACCGCACGGGCCAGCTGAGTGCAAAGGGGCAAAAGGAAAACTGACCTGCGAGTTCAGGCTTAAAGCAGAAAAATACTATGAAACAGAGGGCACAGCCAGCAGCGGGGCAAGCCATTATTGCGGCAGCAGCCTCGCAAAGCCGGATTGAAAGCGTGTGCAAAGATGGCAGCCACCTCAAAGCCTCGTCCGGTCCTGGCGGCACAAAAGTGGCAAAACTAGAGAAATGAAGGGCCTTGAGAAAGTTCGCAGAAGAAGCTAGCAGCGCGGCAGGCCTTTTGTGGCAGCCGCGCAAGCGAGCAGGACAAGGGCCGGCAGTCGTGAAAAAACAAGTGCCTCACCAGCGTGAGCGCAGCAGCCGGCCTGCAAGGAGTCAGTCCAAGTGTGCTGGCGAGCGAGGTGCCCGCGAGCAGGCTAAGAAGAAGGAAAAACTGAGGTGGCGGACGGCAGCGGCGGTCCGCAGGGCCAGTCCTAGCAGCATTGCAAAAATGAGCAGCGGCTGGCCGCAAAGCTGTTTCACAACTCAATCAAGAAGCCGGGCCTGAGGCAAGGTGCTCAAGGGTGGCCGGCGGCCCGCTTCTTTTTCGCCCTGTTCCAGTTTTTGCCCCCGCGCTGGCGGCCAGGTGCACGCGGCTTGGGCTGGTCAGGCGTACGCGCCAACGCTTGGCGGCCGGCTCGCGTTGGCCCGCGCGAGGTGTAAGGGCGGGGGTGAGGCGGGCGCGCCGCGCCGGCGGTGGTGGGGGTGGCGGTGGGCGCGGTGCAGCAGGCGCGACTTGCGGCCCAGCAGGCGACTCTGGCTCCCCTCCCGGCTACGCGCCCCTCCGAGCAGCAACCCCCCAGCTGCGTGCAAACCACGCCCAGGAGCGATTGCCAGTGGCCCCCCAGCTGCACACAGCGGTGCCTCAGAGCGGCCAAGTAATGAGGGGGGGTGCTACGCTCCCGACGTGAGCCAAAATGGCATTTGAGCTAAAATGGTTACGGGCGTGCGTTGTCGCCGAGTGCCACTATGCGAGCTTTGAATCGGTGCTGGGACTGGTCGAGTTCGTAGTGCTTGACCCCTAAGATAAGGTGTGCCTGCACGTACTCGACATCAGGGCCGTACTTCGCCACGGCGGTTTCCCACTCACACGCGGTTGGCGATCTCGGTGACACAAGCGAACATCTTCCCCAGCTCAGTCGTCAGCTTGTCCAGCTCCTGCTCAAGTCTAAGCTGTGAAAACCGTTCCACCCCGAAGAACTGTGCTGAGTCCAGATCGATCGCTTTCAAGCGTCACTGTCGAGGAGACAGCAGCGTTGTCGCGATCAGGGTTTGGTTGCTGCGATCTCTCGGAATCCGCGTCCGAACTGTGTGTGCCGTCTGGCCTCTGTGCTTGTCTCATTGGACCTGGATCGCTCCGAATCCGCATCAGATGGATGTGATGCAACATGTGATCGAGATGAACTTGAGACGGGATTTTGCCCACCTGCTGGGCCTTGCGAGGCGCGCTCCGAATCTGCATCCGATGGATGCGACCCGCGGTGGGATCGCGATCGCCCAGATGAAGATGCAAGCTCGTCGTCAAGTCGATCTGACATGGATGTTGATGGCGCTAGATCAGGGCGTGGTGGTACTAGGCCACTATCCATGTGGTCGAAGTGAGGGCCATAGTTGTGTCTAGGAGGCGCCTGTGTGTCAGCGAACAAATCCACCCGCCAGCGAAGTTTGAGTAGCGAGGTTTCGGTATGACGACGTCCATCACCTTCATCGTCAGGGGGTGGACCCATGTCGCCATCATCGTGTATGTCATCCGATGGCGAAAACCTGGAGCTGGACGAATCCATGGAGGGGCTGTGCGGAGGGCTCGGGGAGTAGTCCATGCTCGTCTCGTGCGAGCCCATAATGGGCGAATTGTGCTGCACGTCAAGAAACGAATGACCGCCACACCGAGCACGAAGGCAGCCGGGACCATCCACATGCCGACGACGACCACTACCAAACAAACAGCCACGACAGTGGACCTCCGCATCAGTGGCCCACAATCCACAAAGCACACAGCGGCCGTCATCACCAGCAACGGGCGTTTGCTGCAACACCTCCGGTTCGAACAAACGTTGGGCCCAATGTGCCGCGCCAGGATTGTCCATGCCCAGCTCGTGAACTGGCCAGCGCAACTGAGGGGGGAAGCGCACATCACGTGTGTGCACAATCCGGGCGTCGCCCTTTGTTTCGACATAGTGTTCGAAATCCAGGACGTAATAGGACTGCAAGCGGCTGGAACCCAACACCACACACACCAAGCCGTCCGCGAGATGCAAACTTCTCATGCTCCTTAGAAAGGCAATAGCAAGCAGAGCCGAATGGACGCAACTTGCTCAAATCGTGGGAGCGGTTGAAGCGGAGCTGGTACGGTGACTCGACACCACCTGCACCATGGCTGCGCGCATACACAAAGAGGAAGGCCATGAGACAGATCCAGAAAGCATAAGGCACCCCAGACGCAACAAATAAGCAAACCATGCCTTCTGCAACTGTCCGGTGGAAACGCTCAGCACGGGAGTTCGTCTGCGGCCGACGTGGCAACCAAGCAATGTTGATCTGCAGGTGGAGACCGTGTTGCCAACGCCAGAGGAGTCGGAAGGCCAATGAGTTCCGCCCCACCAAGGGTCAGGCAGAACTCCTGAAACATGTGAACGAAAAAGTCGTTCAAGTCCGTGTCGCTTGCATTCCCGATCAAGCTTGCGGGACCAGCGTCGACTGCACCTAACAAGAACGGGACGTGATTGCACTTCGCCGGAACGTCCATCGCGCCAGAAATGCGGTTGCTCAGACCAAGCGGACCAGTAAAAGTGGTACCCCATTTCGGCGCAAGTTTCGTCCATCGAAGCCATATTGATTTTTGACTCCGGCATCACCATAGCCGAGCGACGGCCGAGATGCGGAACTTTTGCATCTACCATGGCTGTTGGACGAGCCGTACCAGCCCCTGTGTCGATATCACAATCTTCACTTTGCACAGTCTCCCACATGGCATCCTCGGCATTGTCGCCCATGATGCAAAATTGAGTGGCTCCGGAATCCAGGGCCCACGCTGAAGCGGCAAACTGTTGAAGGGCGTCCGGCCCGATATCTGCAAGCCTTTCGGATCCACCGAAACGTTTGGTGAGAAACTCGGAGAACGCCTTGGTGAGAACCTTTGCAGGCCCAGGACGAGGCCCTATGGACGCAGCTCCCAAGCCAGGCGGCGCAGATGGCGCACCACTGGACGAAGAGGCACTGTTGCCGTTGATCTTGGCCGCGAAGTCAGGTCTGTAAGCGGAACTCTTTGGATTCAACCAGCACTTTTGTGCTGTGTGCCCGGGCTTGTGGCAATGCTCACATAGTTTGTCATTGCCTTTCTTGCTCTTGTGTTTGCCTTTGCCTTTGCCGCCCGCCGCTGTCGCCGCAGCGACCTTGGCCGCTGCAGCCTTCTTCTGTGTTTTTCGCCT